AATACATAACCACGTGACTGTATTTCAGGATATTCATCGATAAAATATCCGATTGAAAGAACCGGAGAAAGCAGTGTTTTCAAAGGGATCGAATGAAAAAGACAAACGTTTAGCAGTTCCTATGGTTAAAGGGACCAGTTAGAAATTAGTTTCATATTTATACAGTCACAAAGAAACTTCTCTAACGCCATACTGTTCCATTAGTTGAAGGACAAGGACAAACTCTATGCATTTTAGTTTATTGGAACTAACTTTAGTTCAGCCTTCACGTACGATCCTCTGTGCAGTCAAACATAAACTCGGAAAAACTAGACTTAAGTTTCGTTTCTATTAGAGCTCATTATCAGTGCATGTCCAATGTCCCGTCCGGACTTTGTTTGACGTTTAAAGATAGTGAACAGTGTCTCCCTTCGTTGCTCCTGGGGCCAAAATGAAGTGAGTGACTATCACTTAGGGTGACGCCTGAATAAACATGAATCGGTAGTTTGGTTCAGCTCTGGTCTGACATGTTTGGCACAGTGTTACTACACACCCCTTCCATACGATGGGGCCAGAGTTCGACGGTACGGTACATGTACACTATTGATGAGCCCTGATCAGAGGCGAATTCGAGTCTTGTGCTTTCGAGCGTATGGTTGACTGAAAGAACAAGCTTGTGCGTGAAGGTGGTGACAGCCAGTCCGAATCAGTATCAATTATCCCACACCACTACTTACAAGTAAATGTGAGTTAAATGTGAGTCTTTTTATTTGCATCAGCTATATGGCGCAGTAGGAGTACTTAAAGATCTAAAGTTTAGGCTGATGCATCTATACCTAAATAAGAAAAAAATTAAAGGATTTCGGTAAATGAGTAACGTACTTCAATTCGAATTTTTCACCCCAAAATACAGTACCATCGGACTGTTTGCTGGTGGTTCTTGCATATAATGTTCGGTCCAAACAGATTTCACAGAAATACCTGCAGAGGTGCAAAGAAAGGCAGAAGGCATAAAGGAAAAATGATAAAGAGCTAGGTTTTCCTAATTGAAATTCGGAATAAACCTCTTGATGAGAGCATAGACCGATTTCAGTATCCATGAAATGAAATAAACGTTGGTCTTCCTCGGTGTAATTTCATTAACTGTTTGTTTCTCTGTGAAACCTTTGAAAACCAGATTAATGTAAACGTCATGAAATACACACTTAGAATTCCGAAATTTCAAGTAGTACGCTTAAGGCTATTTAGTGCACTAGGCTGTTTCTCGTGTCCTGTCTTATCGAATACGTTGCCGTTTTGATACATTACATTTCGCATACAGTACGCTAATCTCTCATTTTCTTTTTGACATTTTACCCATCCATAAATAGTCAATCTCTCTCCCGGCCATTCAATAGGCATGTGATATTCCACTTCATCAAATGGTCTGACCACGTGCAACGGAACAAACAATTCGGATGAATGCTACGAAATGCGCGAAACCTAAGACAAATAAGGCCACCTAAGCGGTTGTCAATATTGCACCTTATATCTGGAAGTCCCGTTCAGAGTTGTCATTTTGGGCAGTGTTTATGTTGATCTCTGCTATGCGTAAAAGCCTGGTGGAATCAAAGTGTGGATTACTAAATTACTGACTTGGGATAAAACGGTTTAGCGGATAGAATTAAACTATTGAAATTTAACCCAAAAAACACCTCACTTAGTTAGTAGGAGGGAAATGCGTTACCCATGGGGTTGTCTCACTCAAATGAATAAATATATAATATAATCATCATTTTTTACTTGAGGCGCTACACCAGATATATCCATTTCAGGTGTTTTTCCTATTCCATGCATGAAGTAAAGCGTCATTTTTTACAATGAATAGGGCAAAAATAAAAAGCCATTTCTTGGAATAATTCAAACGGCAGACGGAAAATCTTTTCTGTGTTGTAATCAGCAATCAGTTCGGGCATGCGGCTGACATACTTTTGTGCACATTGCTAACACACGATTGGTCTACCAGCCTGCAGGATAACAATAGACGTCTGCTGTCGGTAAGTTACCTGGTGCATTTTCTGATAGAGGATAGGAGAACGAACACTTAGGTGGCTAAACTTGCTTCACTAAATGTGCACGTGCGGACGGTCAATGAGGAGGTGGTGGGCTTTGGTCTGGCCAGTAATCTATCTCCAACCAAGATGAATATATGTTTGTAGGAAGCATTGTGATGTATATAAGCCTGACTCACTACTAAGCAGTACCCTACAGTTAGCAACTGATTGCGCAACGGCTGAAAGAGCATTCTTTAGGAAAAGCGTTCAGTGGCAATAGAGATGGTACTCTGTAATCTAAGAATGAGAATCTCTCCAGATTTCCGCACAGAATCTTCACGTCAAATGAAGTCACATAAAATAAAGTAAAGGTTATATGTATCTAATCGATAGAAAATTGCGGTGATGCCGGAGTCTCTTTCTCTATATGGATATATAGAATTTCATCAATCGAACTTTTGAAGTCCGTGAATGACATCCTTCCAAAATCTAGCTCACTCTTTGGTGTGAATGGCATGAATGACCGTATCACACGCGCAAAATACATTTATATATGGTTTACCGGAAAACAGCGAGATAGTGAACGAGAAAAATAAATGAATACTGCAAACAACATTGAAAAAGTGGTTCGCTCTCGAAGCTATACCCGATAAAATGGGTGGATCACACACGCTAACACATGCACACACACACACACAACACGCACACATACAATGCAGTGTTGTACGGAGTTGTGCTAATACCTGAGGTCAAAATAAAGATTTCAGTAGAAAAAACATCTTGTTTCGACGTGAATGACAGTAATGAAGACACGCTGCTAAACAATGCTTCAATTGTAGTTGACTGTTCAATGCTAACGGCGTTCGCAGTGCGTGTCAGATGAGATGTCGAGGAGGTTCGATCGAAATTCCATGCAATCCAGTCTGTGAACTTCCGGTTGGAGAGACTCTGTCAGCATGTATCGACAACTGATACTTATCGAACAGCAACAGTACAATGGAGCAATTAAAAAAGTGAGATACTAATAAAACAACGGTTAACGTTCAGTATATGTAGTTATGCGTATTATGGCAGACTGATTTGCTCAAGGATAACAAGTTTTTACGCAACATGAAAATTTTTCGGAGAAAAACGAACATTAGAGAGCTGTTTACTCTTGATTGAGACTCATCAGCAGGGAATGCGTTTTTCTGCCCCCGAGCGGGACTCGAACCACGAACCCTCGGGTTTGGAGCGGAAACGTTTACGTTTAAAATACTCGATCAATGGGCAACATCTTAAATGTGTGATTATATGAAATGAATTCTTTTTGATCCTTATATCTTCATATGGAATCCACAAACTTCAGGGCTTTATTATGGCAGTTACTAACTCCGTTTCATTGTGGCTTTGTGGATGTTGTTCAC